GCCCAGTGAGGGACCTCCCAACTGGGGCCTCCAGCCACCCCCACCAGTGTTCTCGGGCTGACAGAGATTTGAATTCTCCCTGGCATGGAGGTCTCAAGGTCCTGCTCAGTGAGGGACCTCCCTACTGGGACCTCCAGCCACCCTCGCCGGTGTTCTGGGGCTGACAGAGACTTGAATTATCTTTGGGATGCAGTTCTTGAGGTCCCTTCTAGTGAGGGACCTCCCAACTGGGGCCTCCAGCCACCCCCACTAGTGTTCTCGGGCTGACAGAGATTTGAGTTCTCCCTGGCATGAAGGCCTGGAGGTCCAGCCCAATGAGGGTCCTTTCAGCTGGGGCCTCCAGCCACCCATACTGGTGTTCTCAGGCTGACAGAGATTTGAATTCCTGGAATGAGTTCCCATGGGCAGGAGCAAGGAGCCATCTTTGCTGTTTGTGCAACTTAGTTGTTACAGCCAGCAGGCTTTGGAGAATCCATACCTACCAGGGGCAAAAGGGATCCATCAGCACAGCACAGCTACTCTACAAAATCTTGGAAGGCAGATTCTTTTACCAGGTTCCTGCCCATTACTCCTTACTGGGCAGGACCTCGACAACTTCTTCCCAGGGAAAATTTAAATCTCTGTCAGCTTGAGAACACAGGTAAGGTGGTGGAGGCTCCAGGTGGGAGGTTCTACCCCGTAAGGAGGAAAGAATCAGGGATCTGCTTAAAGAATCTGCCTGGCCACTATTTGGTAGAGCAGTTGTGCTGTGCTGGGGGATCTCTTCTGCCCCAAGTCGGTTTGGACTCTCCAAAGTTGGCCCCACCCTCTCCCCCAGGCCCCAGTTGGAAGGATTCCCACTGGACAGGAACTCCAGAACTCCTTCCCAGGGAGAATGCAAATTTCTGTCAGCCCGAGACACCGGCGGGGTGTCTGGTTGGGAGTAACAGATTGGGAATCCCCTTAAAGAATCTGTCTGGGGCCGGTCACGGTGGCTTACGCTTGTAATCCCAACACTTTGGGAGGCACAGCAGGCCGGATCACTTGAGGTCAGGAGTTCCAGACCAGCCTGGCCAATTTGGTGAAACCCCATCTCTACGAAAAATACAAAAAATTAGCTGTGCGTGGTGATGGGCACATGTAGTCCCAGATATTTCGGAGGCTGAGGCAGGAGAATTGCTTGAACCCAGGATGTGAAAGGTGCGGTAAGCCGAGATCATGCCACTGTACTCCAGCCTGGGTGACAGAGCAAGTCTTCTCAAAAAAAAAAAAAAAAAAAAAAAAGAATCTGGGCACATTTTGGTAAAGCAGCTGTGCTGTGCCAGGGATCCCTTCTACCTCATCAGTTTGCACTGTCCAAAGCTCACAGGCTGGAATGGCTGTGTCACCCAAACAGCAAAGATGGCGGCCAGCTCCTCCCCCGGGAAACTCATCCCAGGGAGCGCCAGCATCCTTGGCACAAGTTGGCAAGTATTGGCTGAAATGACAGGTGCCCTTGGGAAATTTGAAAGGGTTATCCACGTACGGTTGCTGATTATTTTTACAATTTTCCTGAGATGTCTTTATCGTTCTCTGACTCTCCTGTCTATGGTCAGACATTTGGCTCTCAGAGGTGACTTTCTGGCTGAAGAATGTGGATTCTTCACTGTCTTGTCCTTAGAGGGGCCTCTGTAATCCCAGAAATGTCCATATCTGATGAAAGAAAGCAAAGAAGAATGAAGCAAAAAGAGATACATATCATATTCATAAGAAGATTCAATGCTATTAAGATGTCAGTTCTTTCCAATGTATAGATTCAATGCAATTAAAAATCTAGGTGAAAATGTTTATATGGAGAGGCAAAAGACCTTGAATAGCTAACACCATATTGAAGGAGAAGAACAAACTTGGAGGACAGACACTACTCAATTTCAAGGCTGACTGTGAGGCTACAGTAATGGAGACAGTGTGGTATCAGTGAAAGAACAAATGGATAAAATGAGATAGAGAGTTCACAAACAGAAACACATTAATGCATTCAATTAATTTTTGTCAAAAAAGTAAAGGCATTATGATGATGAAACAGTTTTTTCAGGAAGGGCTTCTGGAATACCTGGATATCCACATGCAAAAAATAAATAAATAAATCACAGACCTTACACCCCCACCAAAATTAACTCAAAATGGATCATCAACATAAATATACAAAAACCCATAAAATTTATAGAAGATAATATAGAAGAAAATACAGATTATCTTGGGTTTAATGATGACTTTTAGAAAAAACACCAAAGTTGAAGTCAATAGAAGAAAGAATTGATAAGTTGGACTTGATGAAAATGTAACATTTTTACACCATTAGAGACACTGAAAGAAAAGAAAAACCACAGATGGAAAAACTATTTGCCAAAACATATCTGATTAAGAACTATTATTCAAAACATATTAGTATTCTTAAAGCTGAGCAGTAAAAGACATGAGCTAAAGACCTTAACAAGTACCTCACCAAGTAAATTATACAAATGGAAAATAAACATATGTAATGAGGCTACATACAATATTTCCTCAGAGAAATGCAACCATGAGATGCCACTGCGCACGTATTAGAATAACCAAAATCTAGAATGACTGACAACATCAAGTGCTGGCAAGGATCTGGAACAAAAGGAAACTTCATTCATTGCTTGTGGGAATGCAAAATGGTGCAGCCACTTCTTGAAATTTGTATTTTATGTACCTCAACAGCATGGCCTTCACTGTTCACATTCCTATTATCATTTTGGTCAACCACTTAACCAAGGTCTAATAAGTTCCACAAGTTTCCTCATCTTCCTGTCTTCTTTGCCTATTACCCAGTTCCAAAGCAAATTCTGCATTATCAGGTATTTTTAAAGCAAAACCCCACTCCTTGTTGCTAATTTCTGTTAGCAACACAGAATAACACAGAAAAGAGCAACACAGAAAAACACAAATTTTTGTGTTGCTATAAAAAAATACCTGAGACTGGGTAATTTATAAGGAACAGAGGTTTGTTTGCCTTACAGTTTTGCAGGCTGTAGAAGCATGGCAGTGGCATCCACACAGTTTCTGGTCAGGGACCCAGAAGGCTTTTACTTGTGGCTAAAGGTGAAGAGACAACAGGTATGTCACACATGGCTAGAGAGGTAGGAAGAGAGGGGAGGGGTGCCACACTGTTTTAAATAACTATCTTTCATGTAATACAGTGTGAACTCACTCATTAGTGAAAAGAGGGCAAAAAGCTATTCAGGAGAGATCAACCACCATGACCGAAACACCTCCCACTAGGTCCCACCTCCAACATCGGGGATCAAATCTTGACACAGTATTTGGAGGGTACAAGTTTGCAAACAATATCACTCTCTTTTTGTCTTTGACTTTGGACAATTTATTATAGTGTATCTTGTTGTGAGTCCCTGGATTCACCTTATTTGGTTTCCTTTGGGCTTTCTGGACCAGGCTTTCTGTTTTCTTCCCCATGCTTGATAAGTATGTCATTATTCCTTTAAATATTTTTCTGTTCCTTTCTTCTTCTCTTCTCCTTCAGGCATGCCGATAATGTGAGAGTGGTCCTGCTTGACGGTGTCCCATAACTCTCTAAAGTTGTCTTCATCCTTTTTGCATTATCTTTTTTTTTTTCTGATCCTCAGATTAGATAATTTTCAGTGACCAGTCTTAAAGTTCACTGATAGATTCTGTCAATGAACACCTCTATTAAATTTTTTTCAGTTCAGTTACAGTACACTTTAGATCTATGATTTGTTTGACATTATTGTATAACGTTTTTCCTTTTCTTGACGTTCTCAGCTTGTTCTTGCAAAGCTATTTTGACCTCAGTGATTATTGTTACGACCACTATTTGGAAATATCTATCAGATAAATTACATTATCTGCACTTCACTCAGGTGCTGGAGATTTATCTTGTTTTCTTACTTTGAATGTATTTCCTTGTTTCTTCATTTTTCCTTGACTCTCTCTGTTGGCTCCTGTGCATTTGATAAGACTGGCCTCACGTAGGAAAAGGATCTCACCAAACTTTCCAGCCAGAGATCTTCAGGTACCTCTCAAATCCCTGTGTGCTATAGTGTTGTCTTTGTTTTTTGTGGCTCCCTGGAACTTAGGATGTGCCATGCCTTGCCGGTAACCAAAAATTGGTTAAGGTAGGAGCCAGACAATCCAGATGTAGTTAAAAAGTTAGAAGGCTGGATGAGTGTTTCAATTCTTTCTAACTACATGATGAAGATTAGTATGGACATTTATCTCCCACTCTCTCTCCATTAAGCTTGGTAGAGGATCTGTGACAAACACACGTGTGCACACTCTGGATGCAGCCTCTGATCCTGAGGAGATAGCTTCTGAATGTGGACCCATTGTATGCTTACATCTTTGTTTTCTGTGGTCTAAACACACTCAAAAATACAAAATCCTGTCGACTCCTAGAGCGAAGTTGTCAAGAAAACAGTTCCTTGGGCACTAACTATAGAGGCTGTGGAATTTGATGCATGATCCAAAACTATTTTCATTTAATAAACATCTTTGCATGTCACACATTTAATGGGAAGCAAAATATGTTAACAGTCTAGTAATACAATTTTATCTTTTAGATTTTGTTTTGTCAGCACGTATTCTTTTTGTTTTGTTTTGCATTTGAGATGGAGTCACTCTGTCGCTCAGGCTAGAGTGCAGTGGCACGATCTTGGCTCACTGAAACCTCTGCCTCCCAGTTTCAAGTGATTCTCCCACCTCAGCCTCCTGAGTAGCTGAGACTATAGGCATGCACCACCACCCCCGGCTAATTTTTGTATTTTTAGTAGAGACAGGGTTCCACCATATTGTCCAGGCTGGTCTTGAACTCCTGGCCTCAAGTGATCCATCCGCTCTGGCCTCCCAAAGTGCTGAGAAAACAGGCATAAGCCACTGCAGCCAGCCAGCACATATTCTTGTTATGCTTTTAAAACTAGTTATTGATTTAGAGTTTACTCATTGGTAGATTCTAGTGCAGAAGCTATAGAGCAGCAGTCCCCAACTTTTTTGGCACCAGGCACCAGTTTTGTGAAAGATAATTTTTCCATAGATGGGGGTTTGGGGGATGGTTTCAGGATGATGACTCAAGCATATGACATCTATTGTGCACTTTATTTCTATTATTACTACATTGTAATACATAATGAAATAATTACATGACTCATCATAATGTAGAATCAATGGGAGTCCTGAGCTTGTTTTTCTGCAACTAGATGGTCCCATCTTGAAGAGACAGGAGACGATGACATACCATCAGGCATTAGAGTCTCATAAGGAGCATGTGACCTAGATCCCTTGAATGTGCAATTCACAATAGGGTTTTCACTCCTATGAGAATCTAATGCCTTTGCTGATCTGACAGGAGGCAGAACTCAGGTGGTAATGTGAGCCACAGGGAGTGGCTGGAAATACAGATGCAGCTTCACTCGCTTGCCTGCCACTCACCTCCTGCCGTGTAGCCTGGTTCCTAACAGGTCATGGACCTGTCCGTGGCCTGGGGGTTGGGGACCCCTGCTATAGAGGATCCGGATTTAAATTCAGAAGAAGTCAGAATGAAAAAGAAAGAATTATATTCCTTAGCTAAATGATTTCACAGTTAACTAAGAGAAAGTCAGTATGAGTTGAAACGTTTATCAGTGTTAATAAGAATGAAAAATAAGTACAATATGCAATTACTATTAAATGTAATTTGCCCATAGTTGCACACTGAATTCATTATCATGGCAGTTAAGTATCAGAGCTTCTGCATTTCTCACTCTTCATTTGTGTATTCAGCAACCATGTGCTAAGGTACTAGGACAAGCACTGGAATTATAAGATAAAGATGATACGGTCCACCCCTCAACAACTGTATGCTATAATCTGAAAAAACAAACAGGCAATTCCCATACAGAGTCATACATACAATGACAGGCATAAGACAGCACTTACTGGAAAACACAGAAGGGATACTAGCCCAGGTTTGTGTCAATATTGTAGGCTTTTTGGTGGAGGCAATTCATAGGTTGATATCTGAAGGAGAAGGAAAACACATGGAGAATAGAGGGAAGAAGTAAATGCAAAGAGCTGGAGGTGAGGATGATCACTGTGGAACTCCATGTAGTCTAGTTTGGCTGGATGCTAGAACAAAGGGGCAGAGTGTGGTAAGTGGTGAAATATAAGGCTGAATAACTTGACAAGAACCACACTGATGTGGGAGTTTTGATTCCATGCTAAGGAATTTTCAACTTTTCCCAGGGGCAAAAGTAAACCAATAACAAAGTCAATGACTGGAGATTTAAAATGTCACTGGTCAAGTGACTGCTTGTGACCTGTAATTGCTTAACTAATTATTATCAACGAGTGTGGGGTCTGTTTGCCTTAAATCACTACCTTAAACCTTGAGAAGTTGATGATGCCTTTGTTTTCTGAGAACAGTTTCAGTGAGCAGGCTGACAGTTCTATAGGGGTGGCAGAAGAAAAGTGTAGGGCCAGAAAAAAAGGGATACACAGACTTCTCACGATTTTTTTAAAGCTATGGAACATGACGAATTAACAAGGCATAAGTATACTCTTCACTGTGAATGTTTATGTTTTCACATCTTTCACTGGATATGTGTAAGAAAAAATATTTAATGTAGCATTTATTAACCAAGCAATTGAGAGGAATACCGTTTATTTCAGAAATCAATGATTTGAATTTAATTCATAAATTTTGGCAACATACCTTCATCTACTTCCTGAACACAGGCAGCATCTGAAATAAATCAAATATTACTTATAATGTTTCAGTCAAACAAGGGACATTATCATGTAAACCCACTGTAAGTCATGGAGCATCTGTCCTGTAGATTGATCATCCCTAATCTAAAAATCTGAAATCCAAAATGCTCTACAATCTGAAACTCTCTGAGCACGGACATGACGCCACAACTGCAGCATTCCACACCTGACCTCATGTGACAGGCTGCGGTGAAAACAGTAAAAACTTTGTTACCTGCAAAAAATTACTGTAGAACATCATAGAGGATTACCTTCAGCCTATGTGCATAACTTATATATGAAACATAAACGAATTTCATGTTTAGACTCAGGTACCACCCCCAAGGTATTTCATTAGGTATACACAAATATTCGAAAATCTGAAAAAAATCTACTTTTGGTCCCAAGCATTTTGGACAAGGGATATTTAACCCGTCCTACTGGAAAAATAAAATTCCTTTTCAGTATGACAGAAATTAAGAGATTGGCTTACCAAACTTGAACGCTGCAGGATTTTCTCAAGCCGCTCAATTTGGTCATCCTGTTTTTTAATAGTTTTTCTTATCATGACATTTTCTACTTGAAGCCTAAAATGTGCATTTTAAAATAATTACTCTCACACATAAATTTTTTAACATCATGTAAATTCTACATAAACTTCTGAAGGTATAATTACACAAATTCTTAGCAATTGTAAAAGTAGATGATTGGGCTACTGTGTCATTTTTCTACCTGCGTTTTGTTGATAATATGAAAAATTTAGGAATAATATAGAAAAATGATGTATTTCAACATAGCTTACAAATGAAACTTCTTTGGCTTCACAAAGGCATACTTATTATCATAACTGATACAATTTTCATACTACAGTGCTCTTTTGCTTTATAAATACTCAAGTTATTTTGTGTGCTGCTTCAAATTTTACTTGTGTGCATGGCCTTCCGTCTTCTTAGTACATCTTATAGTAGCTATAAGTTGATCCCGTATTTCTTGAAACTAAAACAAAGAATTAAAAAAAAATTACATTTGGAAATGATCTAAATGTCCATTAGTAGATGAACGAACCAACAAAATACATATAAAATGTTTTTAGACTATTAAGATCTTTTAAAAAAGATCATAATCTAGTAGAAACCATCCCATTACCTGTTTTTTGTAATTAATTTGAGTGGGACACTGCTACACCCCTTCAATCTGCATACTGTTTACGGCTACTTTTGTGCTATAATGGCAGGGCTGAGTTACTGCAACAAGGATCTTATGGCTCACAAAGCCTTAAAAAATACTATCTGGCCCTTTACAGAAAAGTTCACTGACCCCTGCTCTAGGACTAAAACACAACATTCTTCTTGCTTTTGAATTACATTTTATCAGATAAACACTCAAACTTACAAACTGGTAAAATGTGGAAAGATAAAGGATTACCTCATGCTAAGCATTTATATTTTGAATTCTAAACGCTACCACATCAACTATAATTTTATTTTTTGTATGTATGCATTTAGTTTTATTATAGCAAAGCAACTTGCACATTTTTTAATATTTAAAACTAAATAAGCATCATCTTTCCTTTCTAGGGAAACAAGAAGAAAATTTAAAAATAAGCAGAAACAGGGAAGGGCCCGGTGGCTCACGCCTGTAATCCCAGCACTTTGGGAGGCCGAGGCTGGCGGATCACGAGGTCAGGAGATCAAGACCATCCTGGCTAACACGGTGAAACCGCCTCTCTACTAAAAATACAAAAAATTAGCTGGGCACGGTGGTGGGCACCTGTAGTCCCAGCTACTTGGGAGGCTTAGGCAGGAGAATGGCGTGAACCCAGAAGGCAGAGCTTGCGGTGAGCCGAGATTGCGCCACTGTACTCCAGCCTGGGCAACAGAGCGAGACTCCGTCTCAAAAATGAAAAAAAAAAAAAAGGCAGGAACAAAATTAAAATCAACAAAGTCAGTTCCAAATAAGATCCTACAGGATCTTATTGACTCTCCCACCGAATAGCAGGACTCAAGTCATCATTAGGAGAGAAGTAATTTAAAAGCATCATCTTAAACTGCAAGGATGCCCATTAAACATGCCAAAGGAGAAGCCTTGTTGTCTAAATGCCCACTTAACCAACCCAAACATCTCAAACCCATCCTTTGCTGACCTTCTATAACCCCCTTTTTAGTTTACCTTTTTCTATAAACAAGAGAAAATAGATACATGTTGGCAAATGCCAACTGTCCATATTCATATAGAGACAGAGTGTGCTCTCTGAGCCCAATACAAAGAGAGAGTGAGGACTTTCATCAAAATCAAAACTGATTTAGTAGAATGGCCTTTCTGAACAAGTTAACCTGAAATCTATGAAATAAGTATACACAGGTTCTTTATTCATTCAGAAAAGTAGAGATTAAAAATAAGATAATTTTCTGAAACATTCCATTAGACATTATCCTCTGAATTAATCTGGCTTGCCTCACCATGCCAATAGAGAAATCACTAAAAACAGACTGTTTAACAGGGGAAAAAAAAAAACTCTCTGAACTTCTGTGAGAAATGATGCATAATTCTCAACTTTCCTAAGGTTAAATATTTAAGAAAAAAAAATATGTATAAAAAATGGCAGAATGGAAAGCCAGAGATTAAGATACAGGTGCAGGCCGGGCGCGGTGGCTCACGCCTGTAATCCCAGCACTCTAGGAGGCCGAGGCGGGCGGATCACCAGGTCAGGAGATCGAGACCATCCTGGCTAACACGGTGAAACCCCGTCTCTACCGAAAATACAAAAAAAAAATTAGCCCGGCGTGGTGGTGGGCGCCTGTAGTCCCAGATACTCTGGTGGCTGAGGCAGGAGAATGGCGTGAACCCAGGAGGCGGAGCTTGCAGTGAACCAAGATTGCGCCACTGCACTCCAGCCTGGGCGACAGAGCGAGACTCCGTCCGTCAAAAAAAAAAAAAAAAAAGATACAGGTGCATTATAAAGATAATAACATTTAAAAATAATTAATAATAATGAAAATACAAAAGAAAGCATGCACTATAAAATTTTAATAAAATTAATTATAATAAAAATACAAAAGAAAGCCATCCACTAAAATTAGTACCCCGACACTTTATATTAGTTAACCAGCTCCAGATTAACAGTTGTTGGCGTGCAAAGTTTCATACATACTTGACTTCTTATCTGGTCTAATTTCTTCCTTGAATCCTGCATCTCATTTTCTAAAGGGACGCAGTGACGCGATGAAGCATCCAGCAAAGCTTTTGTTGATGATTGTTTGTTTAAGACATCATTTCGTTTCTGCTGAAGTTGTCTCAGAACTACCTGATAAGATGTTATTTTTGTTACTAATTTTACAAATCATCTTATTATTAAACCATTAATAATATTTAACTCTGAAGTATACACTTTGAAAAATATCACCACACAGACCAATTCACCTTCTTTTCCTCGTATGTACTCATTCCTGTGTATTACTGAATCCAGTTGAGGATACAGAAGGTGTTATCTTCCTGCCAAATTGGTATTGTTATTCACACAACATATTCAGTCCACTAGTCATTCCTCCCCTGATGAATTTGCAATGCTTAAAAACCTTCTGAAGTCTCAAAAAGAAATGAGTATGTGGGTGAGACTGATGGTAGTAACTTATACATTGTGGAATGATTTCCCTCTTTTTTTTAATTAGAAACTCAAATCAACCTCAGAGTTCTTCACATTAAATCATCTGCTTAAATCCTTCCAATAGATTTCTATCTCAGAAAAAAAGTAAAATTCCAGTGGCCTTAGATGCTCTAAGTAACCCGCCCTCCACCTCCTGCCCTGACTCAGCTGCTACTCTTTCCTCCCTACTCACTCCATTCCTACTCTATGTGAATCCTGACACTCTTCATCAGTCTGAAATCCTCCTCAGTCTGAAAATGGGGATCCAGTGTCAAACTAATAAATCGCAGATAGCTATGCCTCTCTTTGTCCTGGACAAAGTTATATCCAAATGATAGTAATTGAGCCTTGAAATAAAAATTATGAGCAAATTTTTTCTTTAAAAACTGAAAGTAAGGGGGGGCGGAGCAAGATGGCTGAATAGGAACAGCTCCAGTCTCTAGCTCCCAGCACCAGCGACACAGAAGACAGGTGATTTCCACATTATCAACTGAGGTACTGGGTTCATCTCACTGGGGAGTGCCAGACAATCGGTGCTGGTGAGCTGTTGCAACTCGACCAGCCAGAGCTGAAGCAGGGCGAGGCATCACCTCACCTGGGAAGCACAAGGGGGAAGGGAATCCCTTTTCCTAGCCAGGGGAACTGAGACACAAAACACCTGGAAAATCGGGTAACTCCCACCCCAATACTGCGCTTTAAGCAAACAGGCACACCAGGAGATTATATCCCACACCTGGCGGGGAGGGTCCCATGGCCACAGAGCCTTCCTCATTGCTAGCACACCAGTCTGCGATCTAACCGCAAGTCAGCAGCGAGGCTGGGGGAGGGGCGCCCACCATTGCTGAGGCTTAAGTAGGTAAACAAAGCCCTGGGAAGATCAAACTGGGTGGAGCTCACAACAGCTAAAGGAGGCCTGCCAGTCTCTGTAGACTCCACCTCTGGGGACAGGGCAGAGCTAAAGAATAACAACAACAACAACAACAACAACAAAAAAGCAGCAGAAACCTCTGCGGATGCAAGCAACTCTGTCTGACAGCTTTGAAGAGAGCAGTGGATCTCCCAACACAGAGGTTGAGATCTGAGACCGGACAGACTGCCTGCTCAAGTGGGTCCCTGACCCCTGAGTAGTCTAACTGGGAGACATCCTCCACTAGGGGCAGACCGACACCCCACACCTCACACGGTGGAGTACACTCCTGAGAGGAAGCTTCCAAAGCAAGAATCAGACAGGTACACTCGCTGTTCAGCAGTATTCTATCTTCTGCAGCCTCTGCT